TGAAGCCTGTAGGGCCTGTGGGAATGAAGAGACCAATGGCACCTGCGAACGGTTGTCCAACGAACCGTGTTGACGATCTGGCGGGGGGGGGGGCGGGATTTATAATCTAAATTCACACGCGGCGCGCAGTTTAGGTCGCCCAGCAATCCCACTTTACGATCGGGCGAGTGAGGGTTTAGTGCGGTAGTTCGAGCACAAAACGAACGCACTTCGCGTAAACTGGCGTGCCCCGGCGTGCCACCTTTACGATTTGGGTTTTCCGCGTTTCGCGCGGTGAAAAATAGGACGGGAAGGTCCCATCGCAAAGTGGTTCTGTGTATATATATATGTGTATTATATATATACACGTATATTGTATTCAAACCGTCCTACTTTACGGTTGAATCCTCCCGTCGTAATTATCACGCGCGAAACGCGGAAAAATCGTAAAGTGGGCGCGCCGGGGCACGCCACTTTACGCGAAGTGCGGGGTCCCTGGGCAATGGGAAGTGCGTCCCGTTTATGAATTTACACAAGGAACCTGGACCCGCCCGCGTCCAATCGTTCGCTAGTTTCGCCAGACATCGAAACTTTGCTGCCATGAACGGATTTTCAATGAGCCCGCTCCCGCCCAGGAGGGAATTGCGTCCGACAACGACGGGCGGATTCTGGACCCCTGGCCCAGAACGCAGCCGGTATTACCAGAAACGGCGGGCGACGACGACGACGACCGCGGCCACGTCGACGACGACGACGATGACGACCGCGACGACGGCGGCGACGACGACCACGACCACGACGAAAACGGCGACCACGACGAAGACGATATGCGTTCTCGCCACATTGCCAGCCACTGCTTACCTGTCGCTCCTCCGCCGACGCATCATCAGCATCCTCATTCGCCTCTTCCTTCCAATCCTCCTGCTCATCCCCTCCTCGTTTTCCTCTTCCTTCGCATCTTAATGTGTTTTTCCCTCGCGTTCTCCCTTAGCCTCCCAGAGTAGCCACGACCGACCACGGCAGCTGTCTGGGTACCGCTTTATGTATCAAGGACAGCTCGCTTCCCATCCCATCTGCCCGATCGGCACAAGTTGCCGACGTTAGAAGGATATTGCCGCCAAAACGATTGGAACACGCGCGAACAGGTTGTTCGACATCGGTAATTCGGGCTAATTATTGAGTTTCCGAGCGGTTCCCTCTCGTCTTTTAGCGTGCCGCCCTGTGGGTCCTGTGGGGCGTGTGACATGTGTGCCCCTGTGGGACTTATGCGACTTGTGGGACCTGCGAGACACGCGGGGCGTGGGCGACGTGCGGGATCGGTGGGTTTTGCGGGCCTTGTGCGACCTGTGCGACCTGTGAAACTTGCGGGAACTGTGGGGCTTGTAGAGCCTGTGGGACCTGCGCACAACGTCGGCTTTGTTGGGACCTGCGGGAGACCTGCGGGCCTTGCGAGACCTGTTAGGCTTGCGGGGCCCGCGGGGTCTGTAGGACCTGTGAGGCCCCTGGGGCCTGTGGGGCGCGTGGGACCTGCGAGACCTGTGGGACCTGCGAGACCTGCGGGGCCTGTGACACTTGTGCGACCTGTGAGGCCCGAGGGGCCTGTGGAAGTGACGGGACCAATGACACCTGTGAGGCGTTGTCCAACGAACCGCGTCGACGATCCGGCGGGGGGCGGGTTCTACAAAGTAAAAAATTCACACGCGGGGCGCAATTCTGGTCGGCCAGCAATCCCACTTTACGATCGGGCGGGTGCGGGATTCGTGCTGTAATTCGTACGCGTAACGCACTTCGCGTAAAGTGGCGTGCCGAGGCGTGCCCACTTTACGATTTGGATTTTCCGCGTTTCGTAAGCGAGCAATTAAAATATCATATTTTCTTCTTGTCTTACCGTTTCCAACAATAATAGAAACTAAATTACAATTCCACTTTGCGATTGAGGCTTCCCGTCCTATCTTTCCACTCACGAACCGCGGGAGGAAAACAAATCGTAAAGTGGGCACGCCGGGGCACGCCGCTTTACACGAAGTGCGTCCCGCGTGCGACTTTACGCACTGAACCTGCCACCGCCCGATCGTTAAGCGGGGTCCCTGGGCAACGGGAAGTGCGTCCTGCATATGAATTTAGACAGCAAACACGGTGAGCCTGAAACCGCCCGCGTCCAATCGTTAGCTAGTTTCGCCAGACCTCGAAAATCTGCCGCCCTGCGGGGATTTTCACCCGGAGCCCGCTCCCGCCCCATAGGGAATGGCGCCCGACCGCGGCGGGCGGGCCCTGGGCCCCGGGGCCCCCGAACGCGGCCGTGATTGCCAGGAACGGCGGGCGACGACGACGACGACCACGGCGACGTCGACGACGACGACGACGATGACGACCGCGACGACAGCGACGACGACGACCACGACGACCACGACGACGACGGCGACCACGGCGACCAGGACGATCACGACGAAAACGACATGCGTTCTCGCCACATCGCCGGCCGCTGCTTAGCTCTCGCTCCTCCGCCGAAGCATCATCATCGTCCGCACCCACCTCTTCCTTCTAATCCTCCTATTCCTCCCCGCTTCTCGTTTTCCTTTTCCTTCGCATATGAATGTTCTTTTCCCTCGCGTTCTCCCCCTAGCCTCCCAGGGTAGCCACGACAGACCACGGCAACCGTCTGGGTACCGTTTTATGTTTCAGGGGCCGCTCGCTTCCCATTCCGTCTGCCCGAGCGGCACAGGTTGTCGACATTACAAGGTGACTGCCGCAAAAACGATTGCAGCACGCCCGAACAAATTCGACATCCACATGGCCGGAACATAATAAAGCAAACTCAACAAAACGATCATCGCGAATGATCTGCAGGCGGCAACGCCCAACGAGGATCATTCAGTGAAACTCGCCCTTCAATGTTGGCAGCGTGCGCAGGCGTGCACCATGGGCCAAGCCATTGACACGCCACATGTTGGCTTGCGCGCCCACTGGCAACATTGGGAGGCGGACGCCCTTCACAGGGCCGCTGGCATGGGCGGTTCCACGTTCGACCTTGCGGTTTCGATCCCACCGATCGGATGGCTAACGTGCAACGCGCAATGCAGCAATGCAGACGAGACGTTCTTCCGTAACGTTGACAAGCGGAGGTCGCTTGATGCGACGGGCCCCGCCTGGTCTGATTCAACATCTTGTCGGCTTCCATCCCTGTGCCAATTTTGTTATAAACTTTTTTCACGGGGATATGAGAGGCCTCCTAAATGGGGTCCGAGTGGATGGGGTCGGAGGATCGTGACGCATCGCCAACGCATCGCCGATGCATTGCTGATGTATCGGCGATGCATCGGCGATGCACCAGCGATGTCGGCGATGCGTTGGCGCCATTGACGTGTCGAAAGTAGGGCTCCGCAGTGAGTCGCATCGCTGATGCATAGGCGATGCGGCGCGATCCTCCAACCCATCTTCTCCGACCCCATCCAAGAGGCCTATACCACTCCTCCTCCTCCCTCCTCGTCCATCCACCATCCGGAGGGGGGGGGGGGGTGGAGGAGGCCTCCTCCGCGGACAGAGGCGAAAGCCAGGCTCATGCGCCAAACGCCCCGTTGCCCAAGAAGGCTCTAAAATGGCATAATAACCAACCACCCCTGATGATAACACCTGGGGGATAATAACATTCGGGGTCCTGGGGTGATCAGAAACGACTTGCCCCGGCAAGTCGACGACGACGACGACGACGACGACGATGCTTTCCTCGGGAGGGCGCGGCAACCGCGGCTGATGAGGAACAGAAGCAGGGAGCAGGGAGCAGGAGGAGCAGAAGGTACAGGAAGAGCAGGAGGAGCAGGGGTGGGAGCAGGAGGAGCAGGAGCAGGGAGAGGAGGGGGACGTAGGAGGGGGAGGAGCCGAACGTTCCTGACGTGTGAAAGCTGAAATAATGAGAACCCCATTGCCATGCCACGCGTGTTTGATGGTGCGGCTACTCATCCAAAGAAGATAGCAGCGTCGATTCGTAACTTTCCCTCGCGACAATGGAATTCGGCTTTGCCGCCCCTCTCCCCCGACCGACTCTGCCTTGGCTGGAGATGACAAGCTCTCAATTGGGAGGGGGGATGATATTATCTGGGGCATGCGGTTAGGGCCTCAAGGCGCTTCCAGCACAACCACACAAGACCTTCTATACGGCCGAGGGGGGCAAGACGGCACCGAGACGGCGCATCAGAGCCCCAAGACGCCCCAAAACGGTCCTCAGAGAGCCCCAGATGACTCCAAGACAATACCTAAGACGGCCTACCCGAGCTTGCCTCCATGAGAGCGCGTCAAAGAGAAGGGGCGGGATGCGTCACATGTTATTGTCCAGCAGGCTCTCATCGAAATGTCGACACATGGAATGCGGAAATGGTGCAATCTGGCGGGACCTGCAGCAAACAACGGGATATCAACTCCCCGCAACCTGAAGACAAGAACATCCCGCTGCAACACTCCTCGTCGTCCTCCTCCTCCAAGTCCTCCTCCTCCTCCTCCTCCTCCTCCTCCTCCTCCCCGTCCTCCTTGTCGTCGTCGTCCTCCTCCTCCTCCTCCTCCTCCCCTTCCCCTTCCTCCTCCTCCTCCTCCTCCTCCTCCTCCTCCTCCTAATCGTCCCCCTCCTCTTCCTCCTCCTCCTCCTCCTCCCTCCTCCCCGTCCTCCTCCTCCTGTAGACGCCATGGCGGGATGGGCTGCAAGCCACACAAAACATACACAACAAGCGCCGATTGGAGACATCCTGGCGCCAGGCCACACCGTTTCGATTCCAAAGGATGCGATCAAACTGTGTGAGGTTGGCCCTGGTTTGGGGCTGATTTCGCCTGATGGGAAGCACAACGACATACTAACACTATACGTTCTCCTTGGAGGCGCGCGTCCGACCCGAACAGATAGTATACCCATCTTGTAATAGATCGTTTCCCGAGCGGTGTAGCCAGAAAGCGCCCGCCACGACGCACATACTAGGGTATTGTCGGTGCGCGCGTCGCCCCTGGGGGAACGACGCACATTTAGTAGAAGGATGTTGGGGTGACGCAGACTTGAGACGCCCTAGTAGTGTGAAAGACTTTATTTTGCCGACTCTGCAAATGAGCGTTACTATGGTCTATGACGGTCTTTGCGTATGAACATGGCATACCTGGCACAATCTTGCATCTCATGACTTCTCCCACAACTTCTTGACAGCCTGCTCGTCGGGCTGCCCTTCACCTCTCACGGTCTTGCACTCACCATTTCTGCAAGTCGTCATCGTGTAATGAACCTGGCCGTCCTCTCCGAGGGTCTGCTCGAAGCTAGAAGAAGTCGAGGTTGAATTGGTCATGCCCGCTCCGGTCCCGTCCTTCGATAAATTGCCCGTCAACAGAGGAATCGCCACGCCATCAAACATCGTGCTGGAATCATGCCCGACGATGTCGTCCAAACGAGATGAACTACTGCCGAAAAAACTGTTAAACGGGGTACCAAAGAAATCGTCCACGGCAACAAAAGGTTTGTCAAATATGTCACCCATACGGGTGAAATCGCGGTCCCTGTCAAACACGTGGTCAAAACGGCCAAGATTCCCGTCCAAGCTGGGCGTCTCCCTGAGCTGTTCAGGGGCCATCGTTGACTCTGTCGTGTTGCACTGGCCATTCACGCAAACCGTAGAGCGCCAGTAAACTTTGCCGTCCGTGGTATTCGACACGATTGTCCTTGAGGCGTGCTTGCCGCGCAATGCCGTTCGGGAAGCCATGCGACCTCCATGGTGCACAGCGCTCGCATGATCTGCAAAAAGCATGTGCACAGACACCCAACATTGAATCAGACTGCGCACCATCGCGCAAGTCAGATTTACGGATTCGCAAGTGTTGGTATTGCAATCTGCTGAATGCAACTGCGTAGACAATGGCCTCAGCCAGAGCGGCTTGAATCAAAATGGCTAGTGCACAAATTTGACTTGGAGCCTGGATGCCCGTGTTGTTTGAACAATTTTCGTGTGGTGTCCTCACGCAACCTACTTCCTTTAAAACAGAAACCTACATCGTTTGATCTTGGTTTCGCGTTTCCTGTGCTGTCACTCTGTATCTAGTGTTATGTTCCGCATCATATTTAACAAAACGGACCATTAACGCACGAAGTGGCAATTCAAACTCGAAACTGCATTGCACTATGCAGAAATATTGCACTCCATATTGTGCATCACGGAGTTAAACATGAGCATTCGCGGCGGCGATGATTTTTCTAAACGCGCGCTGGCCTGCCACAATGCCAAGTCGTCCCAACACGGTTACACGTCGGCGTATGCACTTATATTGGCATTCAGGGAGAACTACCCCCCTGGTGCTGTTGAGTTAGTTTGTGATCTATACAACGCACATGCTTTGAACAAGGAATGGCTTCAACTAGTCAACCCTGTTCTTACTTTGATCGGGGAACGTCTACTCGATAGACAGCAAGATACATCAAGCACTGTATATAGATGTACATCTGTACATATACATCTATGTATGTATATATACGACGTTGAAAATGATATTGGCATGAAACGAGGACACCCGTCGGGAAATCGGTGTCGGCTCCGTGTTCGCATCGTGCGTGCGAGCGAGGCGAAGCTGCGAAGCTGCGTAGGCGGGCAAGAGGACTGAAGCCGCCGTGGTGAGGGCGAATCTATGCTCAATGACTCTATGCCCCCGAGGTTGACCAGCGGTTGCTCGGGGGTGTCCCGCCGGTTCCCCGTGGTGCCACGCGGTGTCATGTGGTGTCCCGTGGGACAGCGGCCCATTGTGTCCTGTGGTGTCCCGTGTGGTCGACAGTGAGATCGATAGTGAGATCGATAGTGGGATTGATGGTGAGATCGATGAACAAATCGATAATCATACCGATAATGGGGTCCAGCGTGAGATGGATCGAAACTGAGATTGATAAACAAATCTGATCGGGCATTAAGAGAAGCGCCGATTTTGTCCATTGGGCTCGTAGCGTAGGGGAGACAAGAAGAAAAGGATGATGGTGACGATTCGGCGGCGCACGTCGAGGATGGCAGCGTGGATGACTGGGAGGGTAGCGAGGGGGGCAGAAAGACAACGAGTAGAAAAACAAGCGCCAGGACGAAGAAGAGATGGAGGACGAGTACGGAAAGGAAGGAAGCGGAGGAGGAGGAGGAGGAGGAGGAGGAGGGGGAGGAGGAGAAGGACGACGACGACGGCGAAGAAGAATAGTAAGTAGCCCGGCGAAAAGGACGTCGATGAAGAGAGAGGTCCTCGCGATCTTTTGAGGCTACCCTGTTGAGGCCGTCTGCGGCGATCTTGGGGCATCCTGGGGGCCTCCTGGGGGCCTGTCGGGGTCCTCTTGGGGGCTACTCTGATCTTCTTTGGCTGTCTTGGCATGTCATCAGGTTCGATAAGGGGCTTTTTCAAGCCATCTTGGCGCCATCTTGGGCCGTCTTGGAGCCCTCTTGAGCAGTCCCGGTGCAGTCCCGGGGCCTCTTCGGGCGCTCTTGGGGGCCTCTTGGCGGCTGTTGGGGGCCCTGAGTCTCTTGGGGCGCTTTGGGTGTCCCCTGGGGGGCCTTCGGGGGCCCTCTGGAGCCGTTCTGAGGCTCTCTGGGAGCGATTCCAAGATAATGCTGGTTCGGAGCCCTTTGCGGAGCCGATCTTTTGAAATCGTCCCGAGCGAAACGGTCATTTGTATTGAAACTTTTCCTGGCATGATCGGCAAGCGCCGGAAATTGAAGATCATGGCAAGAGCATGGACCACCAGTGCGATCAACTGTAGCACTCTTCCCGAACGTCCACGGGACGTGCGAGTTGGAGTTCGCTACCCGCGCAAGTTCACACGTGGCGCTGAAATGGCGCACATAATAAACTTACACGTTCAAATTGAGCATGGAACTCCCAACACCTCGCCAAACAAATGCAGCACCATCATGATCAACTTTACCGTAGGCGTACCCCCACCGAAGACAACAAAGAAAAAAAAGTAGAGCTCACTACCCGCGCCAATGTGAACGGTGTGCTGAGCTCACGCGGGTACAGAACTGATCCTGACACTGCTCCTGATCCTCCTGCTGCCGACCGGACTCCTCCGCCTCGGCGCATGTTCCCCCGCCTTCTCGCTCTCATCGCCTGCTTCCTCCGCCGACAATAGGGGCAGTTCACTACCCGCGCAAGTTCAGCACATCAGTTTGACTGCCCGAAAGCATGTTGTTGAGGAAGTCTCGAGTGACAGAATTACTTGTAAACAAAAATGTTCAACAACCATGCGACTGTCCCAACCACCCTGTGGTGTTGGGTCACCGTTTTGAAGAGACAGCGCTCCAGGTTCCCTTCCTCCTTCCTTCCTCCTCCCCTCCTCCTCCTCCCCCTCCTCCCTCCTCGCACGCCAGAAGCCCATAGACAGTGTTCCGTGGCCCCATAGAAGCTCCACCGAAGATCCCGGTGGCGCAGCCCGCATGCGTCTCCCACACCTAGTTCAGCGTTTCGTGGCCCCATAGGGATCTCCACCAAAGGTCCCAGTTGCGCAGCCCGCATGCGTCTCCCACGCCCAGTACTGCAATTCGCGGCCCCCTAGGGGGTTCTACGTAAGTTCCCAGTGGCGCAGCCCGCATGCGTCTCCCTTACCCAGTACAACGCTTCGTGGCCCCAAAGGGAGCTCCACCGAAGGTCCCAGTTGCGCAGCCCGCATGCGTCTCCCACACCCATTACTGCGCTTCGTGGCCCCATAGGGAGCTCCACCGAAAGTCCCGGTGGCGCAGCCCGCATGCGTCTCCCACACCCATTACTGCGCTTCGTGGCTCCATAGGGAGCTCCACCGAAGTTCCCCGTGGCGCAGCCCGCATGCGTCTCCCACAATCAAGACAGCGTTTCGTGGCCCCACAAGGAGCTCCACCGAAGGTCCCAGTTGCGCAGCCCGCATGCGTCTCCCATACCCATTACTGCGCTTTGTGGCCCAATAGGGAGCTCCACCTAAGGGCCCAGTGGCGCAGCCCGCATGCGTCTGCCATACCTAACGTCCCAGTAACGCAGCCCGCATGCGTCTCCCACGCCCAGTACTGCAATTCGTGGCCCCGTAGGGAGCTTTACCGAAGTTCCCAAATGGCACAGCCCGCATGCGTATAGCGCTTCGCCCCATGGGAAACTCCACCGAAGATCCCCGTGGCGCAGCCCGCATGCGTCTCCCACACTCATTACTGCGCTCAACGGCCCCATGGGAGCTCCACCGAAGGTCCCGGTGGCGCAGCCCGCATGCGTCTCCCACACCCATTACTGCGCTCCGTGGCCCAATAGGGAACTCCACCGAAGATCTTGGTGACGCTGCCCGCATGAGTCTCCCACACCCATTACTGCGCTTCGTGGCTCCATAGGGAGCTCCACCTGAGGTCTCAGTCGCGCAGCCCGCATGCGTCTCCCACACCCAGAACAGCGCATCGTGGCTCCACAGGGAGCTCCATGCATCTCCCACACCCATCAGTGCGCTTCGTGGCCCCATACGGAGCTCAACCTGAGGTCTCAGTAGCGTAGCCCGCGTGCGTCTCCCCCACCCAGTTCAGCGCTTCCTGATCCCATAAGGAACTCCACTGAAGGTCCCGGTGGCGCGGCCCGCATGCGTCTCCCACGCCAAGTACTGCAATTCGCGGCGCCCTAGGGAGCTCTGCCTGAGTACCCAGTGGCGCAGCCCGCATGCGTCTCCCACACCCATTACTGCGCTTCGTGGCCCCAATAGGGAACTCCACCGAAGACCCCGGTGGCGCAGCCCGCATGCGCCCCCCCCACCCAATTCAGCGCTTCGTGGTCCCACAGGTGGCTCCGCCGAAAATCCCGGTGGCGAGGCCCGCATGCGTCTCCCACACCCAAAACAGCGATTCATGGCCCCATGCGGAGCTCTACCCAAGTTCCCAAATGGCACAGCCCGTATGCGTCTTCCACACCCAGAACATCGCTTCGTGGCCCCGCAGGGAGCTCCAGCGAAAGTCCCAGTAGCGCAGCCCGCATGCGTCTCCCACACCCATTACTGCGCTCCGTGGCCCCATAGGGAGCTCCACCGAAAATCCCGGTGGCGCAGCCCGCATGCGTCTCCCACACATATTACTGCGCTTCGTGGCCCCAATAGGGAACTCCACCGAAGACCCCGGTGGCGCAGCCCGCATGCGCCCCCCCCACCCAATTCAGCGCTTCGTGGTCCCACAAGTAGCTCCACCGAAAATCCCGGTGGCGCAGCCCGCATGCGTCTCCCACACCCGTTACTGCGCTCCGTGGCCCCATAGGGAGCTCCACCTAACGGCACAGTGGCGCAGCCCGCATGCGTCTCCCAGGCCCAGTACTGCATTTCGCGGCCCCTTAGGGAGCTCCACTTAAGTTCCCAATGGCGCCACATGGGGCTCCACCGGAGAAGCCCGCATGCGTCTCCCACACCCATTACTGCGCTTCGTGGCTCCATGGGGGGCTCTACCTCAGTTCCCAAATGGCGAAGCCCGCATGCGTCTCCCCCACCGAGAACAGCGCTTCGTGGCCCCACGCAGAGCTCCACCTAAGGCTTCAGTGGCGCAGGCCGCATGCGTCTCCCATACCTAACGTCCCAGTTGCGCAGCCCGCGTGCGCAGCCCACACCAAATTCAGCACTTCGTGGCCCCAGAGGGAGCGCCACCGAAGGTCCTGGTGGCGCAGCCCGCATGCGCCCCCCAGGCCCAGTACTGCATTTCGCGGCCCCTTAGGGAGCTCCACTTAAGTTCCCAATGGCGCAGCCCGCGTGCGTCTCCCACACCCAGGCCAGCGCTTCGTGGCCCCCTAGGAAGCTCCACCGAAGGTCCCTGTGGCGCAGCCCGCATGCGCCCCCCAGGCCCAGTACTGCAATTCGCGGCCCCCTAGGGAGCTCCACTTGAGTTCCCAATGCGTCCCGGTGGCGCAGCCCGCATACGTCTCCCATACCCAGAACAGCGCTTCGTGGCCCCATGGGAACTCCACCGAAGGTCCCCGTGGCGCAGCCCGC